GAATGAAACCTCAAAAAGCACAAACACTTTGGCAGCATTGTGTCAACAAGCTCGAGCAGCAGCAGGTTACCCCTGCCATGAGTAAATCGTCGAAAAACACATTCCAAGGTGATGTACATACATTATATTAGGGATATCCAGTCTCCTTCAATAATGAAGTGTAAACAAACAGTGCTCTTGGATAACTGATGAAGTGCAGTTACCTGAACCTGAAGCCGATGGTGTGCACTCTGCATCAACAAATAGCGGTGATGCAGATGGAGTGCCGTTTACTGAACCTGAAGCCGATGGTGTGCAAGCTTCAGGTATGGTTATTCAGTCTACTTCAGTATGTTGTCGGACAGCCAATAGTACTTGTTGTAGTCTGTTATTTAGTCTTCTTTTCAGTTATACTTTCAGTCTGTTTTTCACTCTTCTGTGTTGTCGGACTTCCTATAGTACATTTTTTAAGTAAACTGCAGTAGAGTTGCTACAGTCATTTGTTAATGGTACTCTTTCAGTTTGCTGCAGTAGAGTTCCTGCTCTTTTGTCGGATTAAGTTCAGTCACATGATACAAGTTTCAGTTAACTGCATGTTTCAGTCAATTGGTTTGTTACAGAGTGTCTTTTCTCTTACAACTTTCAGTTAACTGCATGTATTCATACAATTGGCTAGGTACAGTTTTTCAGTGTCTTTTTTTTCATACAAGTTTCAGTCAACTGTTTTCATACAATTTCATACAAGAGGAATTCGATTGATCTTCTCACGCGAGGGTCACCACAAGTTGGTCACGCCACGATCGCAGAGCAAGGAGCCAAGGACAAGAGAAAGAGAAACCCTACTAATTCCAGACAGAATGATCATTCAACCAGACCAAGTACGCAGGCCATCATGCGTGCTGGCCACACTCCCCTGCACGTGACGGATCATGAACAGTAGGCCCTTGAGGATTATGAACAGTAGGGAGGGAGGGAAAACCTGGACAGGCGGCGCGGCGAGGAGGAAGTAGAGGCGGCGAGGATTGTCGATCTGTTGCAGGGTCCGCGGACTGCAGGTGGCGAGATCGAGGATCTGTTGCAACGGACGCCGGAGCGGCATCCTTATTCCGCGTGCCTGGCGTGTGTCGACGGCGACGGCATCGAGACGACGGGGCAAGGCGTGGAAGGACACGATGTCGTGGTGATCGTGACTTTCCTTGGATGGGCACGGAGTCGCAGTGATCGTGACTTTCCTTGGAAGGGCACGACCTGGAAGGGCAAGGTGTCGTGGTGATCGTGACTTAACTTTTTTTAATGGCCTGACGATCGTGGAGGCGAGCTGATGGCGGTTTCCTTTTCTATCGCGCGGGTGAAGTGCGGTGAAAGTGGGCGGGGATCGCAAGGGGTAGACCGCCAAGGTGAGGTGAAGTTTTTGTCGCACCAAAACGGTGTCTCCTCTTTGGTCTTTTTAGTTGTAAGAGATTTGTATGCATAAATGTCCTTGAACCTTCTTTATTTAACAGTATCGTCGTATCGACGGATATGATCTCTCTTCTTGGTTCGTTTTTAAAAAAATAAATAGGCTTACAAGTAAGGTCAATTTTACCCCGAACGGTTGATGCCAACACTATTTTGAGTTTTCTACTAGATAGCCTCTACCCCGAGGCGTGAACATTATGATCTCCGCCAATAAAATTAGTGCTGACCTATGAAAAGCTCAACAGTTTGTACTGACGGTATTTTTTGAATTTTTTTGACCGAAGTCATCAGCAGGGGAACCCTAACCTATTTTTTATTTTTTTGTTTGAAACCTGTTTCATTCGCTCTCACGTGGAGTCGAACCTAGGCCTGCTGGATGCTACTCCTGTGTTCTAACCACTAGGCTAGAGGCCCTTTCATGTATTTTTTAAAATTTCACTAGTGGTGTGGTGTTTTTACTGAGGTCACTTGAAAACCGCCTATGTAAATATTTACAATTATGGTTTTCTTAAGGCCACCGTTAGTGTAAATCGATCTACACTAGTGGCATGCTTACACAAACCGTTAGTTCAAATGGTTTGTTCACTTTGTAAATCGTGCCAAAACATTGTAATATTTATAATCAAGGAGAAGCCCACCAACTAACCCCGTCCAGTTAGGCCAGTCTCAATGGCTAGTGTCATTGCACAGTTTCCAAAATTAAAACGTCATCAAGACTCAAATGAAACCATCCATGAAACAACCCCAACAATGCAGCGTTTCACTTTGATGTTTCCAAGGCTAAGAAAAGCATTTAATTGCTGCAGTTTGTTGGGATCATATGCACTCTATAATCGTGTAGCCATTTCTACTCGGCAACAACCATCAGTTAAATAGCAACAAACATTCAGGCCGGCAGCACCAACCATCACTGAGACGGTGAACAAAAAAGACACAGATTCAATCGGATGCACATACAAGCACCAGTTGACCAACCATCAGTTCGACAAGAGAGATAACTGCACTCCAGGTACTCTGAACAAGCATTCTGTTAATAGAATGACAAGCATCATGTGCACACAACCATCAGCTACTCTGAACTCAGTACCAAGTGACCAAATCAAATAAATCGACTGATATCAAAATGATCATATATCCTATTAAACCATAGATATGCTGAAGATAGTCATAGATAACATACGACGAGTAGCGAGACTTCAGCATTCACATAAAGCAGTTCGGCATGCACTGGAACTAAAGATAGTAAACTAAGATAGAAACAAAATTCAGATAGCCTTCAAGCATGCACTAGAACTAAAGATAGTAATAAACTTAGATAGATAGAAAAAAAAATTAGATAGCCTTCAGCCTTGCAAACGACCTCTCACTGGTTCTTCTCACAAGACAGATAACCTTGGGTACTGCAGGATCAGATAGCCTTCAGTAGTGCAAGATCAGATAGCCGTCAGCCTTCAGCCTTGATTTCATCCTGCAGAAACAAAAAAAAAATAGTTCAGCATGAGCTCTCAGAAGAATTCAGTAGTGCAGGATCAGATCACAAATATCACATATAAAATACAAATGAAGTGCAGTTAAATTCTTAAGGTTAGATAACTAACTACAATAGATAACCAATAATGCAAAAGATAGTCACAAAGTATCAGAAGTATGTGCACAACCAACAAACTTATTCCAAATATGTTCTACCAAATCATCCTTAAGTCGGCGATGAGCCGATCGATCTCGAATAGTAGTATCTTTTTCTAAAGCTCTCTCTAACGGAACATCCTGATCCGGAGAGAATTCCGGTTCTTGAACGGTTGATGAACTAGGAGGCACATTTAGATCTAGATTTTCTTCAATAATGTCTGGTTCCTTCTCATCTTCAACTATCATATTGTGAAGTATGATGCAAGCTAGCACGACATCACGGAGTACAGCACGGTCATATAGACGAGCTGGTCGTTTTAAGATGCAAAATCGACGCTGCAATACACCAAAGGCTCTCTCGATATCCTTTCTTGCCCCTTCTTGTTCTTCTGCCTACTTCTTCTCCTTCTCAGTGATAGGGAGTCGTATTGACTTAACAAAGACTGTCCATTCAGGGTATATTCCATCAGCAAGAAAATACCCAATGTTGTGTTGATTCCCATTTACCATGTACTAAACTCTAGGAGCTTGTCCTTTTAGCTCATTGATAAATACAGTAGACTGATTCAAAACATTAATATCATTGTTAGAACCCGCTACTCCAAAGAACGCATGCCAAATCCAAAGATCATGTGATGCCACAGCTTCAAGAATCAACGTCGACACTTTCTGATCACCCCGAGTGAACTGACCCTTCCATGCATTTGGGCATCTTTCCCATTGCCAATGCATGCAGTCAATGCTGCCAAACATTCCAGGAAAACCTCGTTTCTCACCAAGTTTGAGTAGACGTTCAGTATCTTCCATAGTAGGGCGCCTCAGATATCTCTCACCAAATTCTTCTCTAACACCTTTGACAAAATTCATCAACGCCTCCATTGCAGTAGTCTCTCCTATCTTCAAGTACTCATCTAGTTCATCTGCACAACTACCAGTAGCCAACTGGTGAATAGCTGCAGTACACTTCTGTAGTAGACTGAGCCCTTGCCGATTAACAGCATCAACCCTCTGAGTAAAATAATCAGACCATTGGCCCAAGGCATCAACGATGCGTTGAAAAAGTGACCTAGACATACGAAATCTTCGACGAAAAATATTGTAAGGGTAAAGAGGATTTTCTGAGAAATAATCATTCACTAGTTTTTGATGTGCTTCCTCTCGTGGCCTCTTGATGTGCTTCCTTGGATTGAATCGATGGTCAGAAGCCTGTTTTTGAAGACCTTCGATGGTGGACTGTATGACCACCGTGGCTTCATTGAGAACATCATCTATGATCTGACCCTCAGCAAGGAACTCATCCAACAAGTTCAGAGGACTTTGACTTCCATCAAGGTTGTCATTTTCCTCAGACATCTTTGCATAAGAGAAAAAAGTGAATACAAGAGGTGAGGAAAAGAGACGTCGCAAAAAGTTCAAAGATGACAAGTTACCTCAAAGCTGTGCACTAGAATCTATAGAACTCGATGCCAGAAGAGAAAGAGAGAAGGCCTTCGTGTGAGAAAAAGAGAGAAGGCCTTCCTGTCTATATATAGGTTCATATGCGTCCACTAGATGTGAAACTGCCATGCGTCCACTAGATGTGAAACTGCCTAGCAAGTGCAGCATTCACACGTACATAGGGCTGCATTCACACATATATAGTGCTGCATTGCCACTAGATGTGAAACTGTCATGCGTCCACTAGATATTGATAAATATAGTACAGCATTCAAAATCCACTAGATATTCACAGAACTGCCATAACTAAGGTATTTCAGCATTCACGTGACTGTTCTTCTGGAACATCAACTATGTTAGTCTTGTCTTTCTCTTTTTCCTCAAACTGTGCACACCATTTGGGCTCCTCTTTCAATATCTTCCACCAATGCACCAACGAAAAGCGCTTTCCAAACCTATTTTCATATATCTTCTGTGCCTCTTCCTCTAGCATGTCATCAGAGTATCCGCTTGTATGCATTTGAGTTATCTTTAGTCCAAGCGTCATTGAAATCAGTGATCGATGACTTCAGGCGTGACCAGTGAACCTTCAGTTGGTTTAGTTCCCTTCTACGCTTCCCATTCCCTTTCCTGTTAAACTCCTCAGTGATTTCCTTCCAAAATGTATCATATTTCTGGTCATTACCCCTATTTGGGTCTTTTGAAACATTCAACCAAGCACTGACCTACAAAATACGAAATAAAAAGTATGAACAAATGAAGTATTGTACCAAACACTAGCCTACAAAAAGAAAAATAAATTTATTTGTTAAATGGTGAATACATTTATTTGTTAAATAGCTTTACTTTGGGAATGTGATGTTTAATTTGATTGATGGAATACACTATGTTTGACAGCCCCAATTACTCGGGCTTGCCTCCTTGCACATACTTAGAGGTGCATACGTAATGAATATCAATGGCTAGATACAATCATGCAAATCACTTTGAAGCGGCTGTTCCCTTTCGAGGGAGATGATGCAGAATTTCACAGCAGGAGTGGAACTCAGGTTACTTCAGCAGACATATGTCTCATCCTGTCAAGAGAAGTCAGTAGATGACTTGACCCCACTACAGTCAGGTTGCAGACAGAAAAATAAAAAACACTGGCCTACAAAAAGAAAAATAAAAAACTGATCAGCGATTACCAGTCTCGTTTCCTCGTCATGAGTCCAATGTCTTTTCTTTACTACCCTGTTTGCCTCACTATTCTCCCCTTCCTCAATGTCAATATTCACCGTCTCCTTTGCTGAAGTGCCTCGTTTCACAGTTTGGGATGTTACTGTTCCATGGGCACTTGGTGGTGCTGGTGGGGATATTGGGTTGAAGCTCATGGTCTGGCCAACAAAATGAAAATTTTCTCCTTGCATGTGTGGGTGTGGCAGATACTGTGGTCGTTGAAGGAAATTCGTAAAACCACCTGGTGGATAAACCGACCTGACATTTCCAAAAACAAGTTAAGTCCTCCTCAAAGCAATAAGACATATTGCACATAAAGAGAAAGTACATGCTTTACTATTATATAACGCTACATATAGCATGCAGTTCCTGTCTACTAAGGAATTGATGCCCAAAATAGTGATTAAACTGTCAGACTGTATGTTCTGTACAGAAAAATTCAGTCACTTTCATATGCATATGTGTGTGCTATTGTAGGTACCTACTTGAATATAAAAATTCAGTCACTTTCAAACACGGACGGAGCACAGTGGGGGCCAAGCTGGGCTCCGGCCCCCCCTTGTCCAAAGCAAAATTCTCAAATATAGTTTGTGGTCACTTGTATTTTGTGAAATGTGACACAACTATAAATATATATAACTAGCTAGTTTTAGTCCATAACTTGGTTAAAAGTAGTCTGACAGTCTCTGTAGTCATTTGATATGTGATTAGTTAAATTTATCATAGTATATATGGTTTTATTTCTGATGTCAACATATTTCACTTATATTTTTATCAAGTTGGCCCCCCCTTGATTTTGTGCCGTGCTCCGTCGCTGCTTTCAAAGATGTCTGAGAGATTCAGTTTAACTCTAAAACCAAGTCCTGAACATTTGAATCCAAATAAATCAGATCTACACATGCTCTGAGTTGCAGTAACAAAAGATAACATAGTAGCATGAAGGCTCAGTAACATTTAACAGAGCACACAAACGATATATCATACAAATTGCAGATTAAATTGTAGAGATCAAACAAATCACTATCAGTTCAAAGACTTGCAGGCATCAAAATCAACTACTTCTAGGCATCAAAATCAACTAATTACAGGCATCAAAATCAACACATACTATAGATTTGGGGCTTGCTGGTTTCCTTGTTCATATGGAAAATTTGGGGGCATGGCACCCAATGCTACTCCTTGCGTTGGCCTCGGCGGCACTCCTACTCCTTGCGGTGGGGATGAAGACGACGCAGCAGGGGCTGGCGCAGGGGAAGAAGATGGAGGGGCCGGCGCAGGGGAAGAAGATGGAGGGGCCGGCGGCGCAGAGGGGAAAGTAGGCGGTGGCGGAGGAGAAAATGAAGAAGCCGGAGAAGCCGGCGGCGTAGGAGAGAACGCCGTCTTCATTCCAATACGGCTACCTCCGCCCCCTTTCCCTCCTCTGCCTCGCCGCCCGGAGCTACGACTAGGATCCATGGCGCTGAATCTAGCGGCCAGGGCGGGATGGGGAAGGAGAACCAGGCGCGCACGGGAAGGAGATTGGCGCGCAGGGAAGGAGGAAGAAGAAATCGCGTGGGAGGCGAGAGGAATCGCGCGCGCGGTTGGGGAATCGGGCGGGAAGGATCGCATCTTCGCGCGTGGAGCACGGGATCGGTGATGAAACTCTTCCCCCCTCGGTGCGGGTGTCGTGCGATTACCGAGTGGTTGGAAACCGAGCTCGCGAGTGTCGTGGCCATGAAACGAACTTGTTCTCTCTCCTCCTCGTTTCATGCAAAAATTGCTCTGGTGCTGATGTGTCACCCTAATTAATGTGCATGACACTCCCGTGACCTCTCCATTGAGACTGGCCTTAGTGAATACGCGCGCAAGCGGCCACCGAGGAACAAACTCACACCTCAAACCTCACGCGTTGATTGCCTACCGTTGCGCCTCAAACTCAGTGCCACCACCAACCCCGATGCATGCCATCGCACCCCGCATGTTGCAGCCTGTGTCCACCGTCCACCGTGACGTAAGGACCTAGCCCCGTACGTTGCACCGCTAGATGAATTTCACACTTCTATATGCCTATATTTTCTTTCTGCAGTAAATTACTTCTCTGAAAGGTACCACACTCACTTGCTAAATTTGTTTTTCACAACACGTACGGAGGTTAAGTTTTGGCGGCTATAAATCTGGTTCTACTCCGCGCTCTTGTATATGTTATGGTATGCCTGTATATATTTATGGCAATGTTTGTTTCTTAATCTGTTTTTTTACCATACCTAGTTGTTCTTAAAAAAAACTCTCAGAATGTGGTTGCATCGCGAGCGGGTTGAGAAATACGAGTTTTCGATCTATGTTTCTATGTAAAACTACTAGTTAAGGATCGGATCAAAGCATGAAATTCACACTTAAGGATCTCCAACACTGATTTGAACAACAGCATATGTATGTTTCATAACAAAGATCATCGGGGCTAACATTTCAAAATCTCATTGAATTCGCTGCAAACATTCTCCTTCTTCCGAGTCTCATGATATTTAGACAGAACAATTATTCATCACAAGTTCACACGACTGAAACCAGATTACCACAACATTATTAATCTTACATTATTATTCGACTCATCACCCTCTCGCTATTACTGACTTACAGGAAGGTTATTCCTCCGGCTACTCCACGGCTGCCCTTGCTGCTGCTGCTACCGTTCCTACCTTTCTGGTAGCCATCGCCCCCTTTGGTGTGAGCTATGGCGGCACCGGCAGCGTTTCCTCCGCCCATCGCATGCCAAGCCGTCGCCACATACAGCGGGCGGCCGTGCCACGCCAGTGCGAGGCCGCCGGAGCCTTTCAGGATGCCGAACCCGAGCCAGAGAAGGAAGTCACGCTGATCAGGTCGGCTATCGCTATGTTGGCCTCGCTGAGGTCGAACTCCACCTGGGTGAACCCCGCACGGGTGAGCCTCCCCTTCCAGGCGGTAAACAGCTCATGCCGCTCGGTGCGGGCGCTGCCCTCGCTTCAGATGATGTCAAAGATCTCGCCCCAGAGGTATGCCTCTGCGAGTGAGCTGCTGGTGGTGGTGGTGCTTCCGCCGACGACGCTAGCAGTGACGGGGCACATGGCCTCCAAGGAGTCAAACATGGTGGCGTAGTGGAAGAAGGGCGTTGGTGAACCTCTCCAGTAGCAGCGGCTTGTTGTGATCCGCCTCCTGCTCGACCACCGTGAAGATCCTGGCCTTTAACGAGTTCAGTTTTGCCATCTTCTCTGCAGAGCTCTGGCCAACGCTGGTGCTTATGCTGTGTATGTGCGCTCTGTTCTTCCTTTTTTCTTCTACCTCCAGCTGTAGTGTGTGTGGTCGACAACGATGGTGAGCGGTCGGCTCACCCGTGCCGGAGATCTAAGGAATAACAGGTGGTATCGGAGTCGTACAAGCGCCGTCGCCGGACTAACCGCTGACGATGACGGACTGTTTGAAGATAAATGACAGCAGCGGCGCTGCTGTGGCTGCCCAGTCACGACAGGAAGTCGTCGTGCGCACGGTGCGGGAGGTCAGCGGCACCAGTTGGCCGACGCTGACTCACACTAACTATAGCGAGTGAGCAGTGACCATGAAGGTCAAGATAAGAGCCCGACGGCTCTGGAATGCCATTGACAAGGGCAATGACAACGAAGAAGATGACATGTCAGCGTTGGAGGCTATCCTCGCTACTATGCCAGCGGAGTACAGGGAGCTGTTGGGGACGAAGAACTCTGCTAAGGAGGCGTGGGAGGCCATTGCAGCGATGCGCGTCGGCTCCGACCACGCAAAGAAGGTGACAACCCAGCTGTTGAAGCAGGAATACGCCAACCTCAAGTTCAAGGATGGTGAGTCAGTGGAGGACTTCTCACTCCGCATGCAGTCACTCATTAGCAAGCCAAGGAGCCACGACATCACCATCGACGAAGAAGAGGCGGTCTCCAAGTACTTCCACTCCATACCGGTGAAGTACATCCAGATCGCTCTCTCCATAGAGACGATGCTGGACTTGTCCACCCTCACCATTGAGGATGTGACATGCCGTCTGCGGATGGTGGACGAGCGCATGGGCTGCCTGCTGGACAGCGGTAAGTTGCTGCTGATAGAGGAGTGGGCTGCCTGGATGAAAAAGTTCGGGGAAGCCTCATCCAGTCGCGGTGACGATGGCAAGCGTCGCGTCAAGGCTTCTTCGGAGAAGAAGAAGAAGGTCAACCCCAACGCCTGCTGGCGCTACGGGAAGACGGACCATTGGGCAAAGGAATGCCCAGATCGCAAGCAGGAGAAGAAGGCTGAGACTCGTTTAGCGCAGGCTGATGAGGATGATGATGCCACTCTTCTGATGGCGACGTTCTGTGCACTGCACGACGTTGAGGCCAAGGAGAAGGGAGAGGTGATGATGGTGAAAGGGCAGGCAAGGCTCTGAACGCTGTCAACCTCGATGAACCGCGCACCCAAGTCCACCTTAGACGTGTGGGTGATGAATAGGAGCAGCGATGGTACCTGGACTCCGGCGCCAGCAACCACATAACAGACTCCAAGGAAGCCTTCTCTGAGCTCGACGGCAACGTGACCAGCACGGTGAAGTTCGGTGACGGCTCAAGGGTGGCGATCCGAGGGCGCGACACCATCATCTTCAGATGCCAAAATGGTGAGCACCGCGCGCTGACGGATGTGTACTACATCCCGTAGTTACATTCAAGCATTGTCAACATCGGGCAGTTGGACGAGCGCGGATGCGAGGTATTGATCAAGAGTGGGATCCTGAAGATTTGGGATCGGGAGTGGTGTCTTCTCGCAAAGGTAAAACGCCCACGTAATCGATTGTGCCTACTCAACTTGAAGGTGGAGCAGCCGGTGTGCATGGTAGCATGGCACACCGAGGAGCCATGGCTATGGCATGCCCGGTTTGGCCATCTCAGCTTCAATGCGCTTGGTCGGCTGGAGAAGATGGTCCGAGGGCTGCTCCACATCAAGCACGCAGGCGAGCTATGTGACAGCTGCCTAGTCGAGAAACAGAGGAGGCTGCCATTCCTAAAGGTGGCCAAGTATCGTGCGGCGGATGCTCTCGAGCTCGTCCACGGTGATCTCTGTAGGCTAATCACGCCAGCCATAAACGGTGGTCGGCGGTACTTCCTCCTGCTCGTGGATGATTACAGTTGCTCTATGTGGCTGCAACTCC